ACGGTATTGAATGCTTCATGTATCAATTCAATTTAATTTGTTTACCGCATGCAGCATTTACTAAATACAACTAAATAGTATTATTTAGTTAGTGTACAGTTGCACGGATTAAGTGCGATCACTCTAGCTCATTTGCATCAGGAAAAGTAAAGTAATCTGGTGACTGGTATCGTTTTATTACGATTACAATATGATATTGAAAAATACTTGAAAAGTTGTAAAGCAATCATGTGTATTTTTATACTTAGTTTGATAATTCTAATAGATTAAAAAATACAAAAAAGAAGTAAGCAATTATATGCACAATAATTTTGCTCGAATATTGACTTAACTGAGGAAGAAAAACCGATATGTACCCAGAAAAAACTAAGATAGACAATATTACATGGGTTCGCGAAGATAACGATTTTATCTTCATCGAGTGTTAAATGAAGATCTCTCACGAATGAGGGCGTAACGTAAGTTAAAACATCGAATTATATAGTCCTTGGTCTTTCTGTGTTGATTTATCCTGACCGAGACAAACTGTTGTCGAGAGATTAGGAACAGGGGAATGAAGTAGTACGCATCTCCTCACTCCGGCCGATTTTCTGACTTAACACAGGAATCCCGACTTGCCTGAGAAGGAGGCTGCTGTAGGTAAGTAATACATTTTGTCTTGCTTTGATAGTTCATGGTTGAAGGCAAACGCGTACGATGGCTCGCAAACTCCTAAGAAAAAGTCTGGCTTAGGTTCCATGGCTGGTGAATCTGACATGTTACTTTGGGACAAAGACATAATCGCCTCAAATCCTCCTCGTAATTTTAACTTTGATCAGCTTAAAAACGATCCAAAAGTGCTTCCAAGTCTTTTGGAGAATCTTCATCGTTTTGGATTTATTTTCGTCGACGATACGCCTCTCGATGATGAATGTGTTGCTGAAGTTTGTGAATTAATTGGTGGTTTCGTACAAGAAACGATTTTTGGCCGCGTTTATGTCCTTAGCAATAGGACTTTAACGCACGCCGATATCGCATACTTAAATCCAGCCCTGAATTGTCACACTGGCCATGTTTACTTCGCAACCCCTGCTGGATTACAAGCAATGCACGTCACACACCACGATGGAACTGGAGGATTAAGCCTACTCGTCGATGGTTTCAAGGCAGCAAAGGATCTGTACAAAGAAGATACAGAAGCCTACGAGATTTTAATATTTGAATATACCAGTAAGGGACACGTCCTCCGTCACTCTCATACAATCCTAGAAGTTGATCCGATCAAAAAGGAACTCCTACAGCTTCGATACAATAATACAAGAGTTGGTCCTTTGGTGCACCTTTCATATGAAAAAATGGAGAAGTTTTATCGTGCCATACGGTTGTTTGGGTCTATTCTTCGACGAAAGGAGAATGAACTTTGGTTCAAGTTGACTCCTGGTAGGGTCGTAGTATTTGATAACAGGCGTGTTCTTCATGGTAGATCACGGGCTTTAGGAGACTCTTTGTTTTGAGTCGTGAGAAATTCTTGTTCATGCAAAAAAGAACACCCTATTTACTTACTTGAGTCTTTAATTGCTAGTCAAATAAGCTTGTGATGAATAAACATGAATTTATGGTCTRCTKWGTCCATTTCTTTCCATATTTATAGTAACAGTTACGACTAACCTCGCGCCATTTTGAAAATTAAATTGTTGATTTATTTGACCTGTCAATCAATAGATCTCTTCGCGGTTAAAACCAAAGCAAGCAACATGTTTTCAGTCTGCACACCTCAAATAAACAATAAAAATATCATGACTTTTTTCACCAACAAGAATTTAATAAAAAGGACACTTTTTGGTTGTTGCCCGATTTTGCTTTTGCCTTGGTGCAAATCAACAGGCTCCTCGCGCAATTTGTTTTCTATAAACGCCAAAAGGTCTATTGTAAGAACTAGTACCTATGCCTTAATATGTCAAGAATTAAAATCTTTATATTTGTATATTTATAGAAAATTTACAATAAAAAAAAGAATTAGTAGCACGATTTATATTTTATAGCTATCTATTTCAAGCAAATGTAATCACGAGCTATAATCGACACTATTCGACAGAAATATGTTATGCTGTCAACACCATGATGTATTTCCAGTCTAAACAAAAATGATGATGCCATTTGTCATTTCAAGACATTTTTACTTCTTTTTCAGAACGAATGCTACGATATGAAAGAAATGATGTCAGACGAGACAGAGCTAACAGCCGAAAATGGTCCAGTACGCGACAGACGTCCAAGATTAATCAGACTGCAATCTCTTGCCAAGACTACCCTACGAGGGGCTTGTAACAAGAAGACTCCCAAAAAAAAGGGGCATCATAAAATAGACAGAATATCTCACATACTTTTCCCTGGGATATTCATCGCCTTCAATGTTATTTATTGGCTTATTTATATGTCTTGAGGTGGAAATTTTGTAACCGAAATCAGGGGCGGATCCAGTATTTCATAAGAGGGGGGGGGGAGGGTGATTTTGTCAGTAATCTATCACTAAAAACGAAGTATAGCAGATGGAACTGATTTTTGTTAGCTTTGTTAGCTGCAAGAACATTATGCACAATTTGACCGGAAGCAAATTGACTTTTATTGCCACGTATATTTGACTACACTACTCAAATAGATTGTTTAAAGGGACACTGTCAATGGCACGCATGCGCGAGTAAACTTGAAAACACTAGGCTAGTGTTTTCAAGTTTATGACTCCAAGTTGGCGCGACATAAATCAGATCGTAAACGTAAACAGATCTAGAATATTCCAAAGTGTGTCAAAAGCATCACAAAATGATTTACCTCAAAGGTTATACTTTCAAAGTCCGTTAGAGGTGAGACTGTTACTGCGCATGTCATCCATTGACAGTGTCCCTTTAAGCAGCTTTGTTGCAGGCACGTGCATGTATKGTCATGTATGCTACTCATTTTCTCGATAAAAGTACAACAGGAGTATAAACAGCAGGAAAAAAAACATTTATACTGATATATAAAAAAACTACTTCGTTCAAAAAGGGGGTGCGTCCGCAATCAAAGCACCGCCCTGGATCCGCCCCTGGAACTCCCATTTGTTAGTGGACTGATGAAATGTAGTGCAATTCGGTTCACTGAGTGTTAGCCATTACTGTTAACTACATATAATATACATATTAATCTTGAAAATGCTCTCAAACGCTTAGATACAAAGTATATAGACCAGTTATATAGAGTCCAACAGGGGCTTGAGCAGGATTCAAGCCACATTTCTCCCTGGCAGACAGAGTCTTTAAAATACGTGGATTTCTTTGCCAAGTGATTTAAAGCTTGAGTACCATTAAGGCCGATTAATACTGCACGGATGGTGCGTGCGATTTTTAGTATACGACTCAAATGAGCTCCAAATCGCGTCGTGTGAATCCTAAAACAGTCGTACGCAACCTACGACTTACGACCTACTTACTTACGACTTACAACTTGTCGTAGGAAAATCGTATAGTACAAGTCGCACTAGACAATCGTACCGTGTAAATCGGTCTTTATTAAACCACTGGGCACGCCCAAGCCCAATGAATTCATATCCTTTTTACTGCACTTGCTTAAACAAAGTCAAGCCATACCATCTATAGTTTATAGTGGGATGAAACGTGAATAATAATTATTATATCAAGTTCAACGCTAGTCTTTGTACAAAAAGAACAGTGCTCTTCATATAGACAATTCAGGATCTTAACAAAGTTGAAAATAGCGCATGACTGCTGATTTCTATTGGCTAGTATAATGACCGCTTTGAGTTAAAATACCAGCCTTGAAAATAATTTTTGTCAGCCCGTGAATAAAGAACATTTAAGCATAACTAAATGTCATAATTTATTGGGACAAATCCAGGAGAATCAAATTAGTACGAATAATGTAGCCCCAAGCACAAAATAGAGTTTTAATGGGTCACGACCAGTATTGGGTCAATATGCTTGCAAAGGAGTGTACTTATATCCACCCACCTGATTTAAGGCCTGATAATACACATGTTTTCCCTTTTTTTCCTGATAGTGGAGATGATCACCTCCATATATTATTTATTCATCATATCTAGCCAAAAGCTAAGTTTATTATAATGCAACTTTCTTCTAACAATTCTAATAATTAAATCTATATAATACAAATTACCCCTTATAAAATGATAGCAAACGTAGAATACCTTATCTTTTATATTGGTTTGAAAAGAATTCGAAATTATGACAACAAACTTTGTCTTGCAAATCTAAATCTGTTTTGAGAAAGAGCTTTTGTATGCAAAAGTCAGGAGCAATTCCGGATTATTATTTTCTTATTGCATGTGTTAAAAGCTTTGTTATGATTTAAAATAACATTAGCATCCAACAGAGACAAACGTTATGAGGTCGTCACGCWGTTAACTCTGCATAATGACTCATTACTTGTCAGAACGGAAAAGAGTACTTTTCAAAAGGACGTGACTAATACTCTTGAGGCCTATTAAGGATTAGACCTCCTCAGTCAGTGGAATATTCATTCAAAGTCTAAGCGCCCCTTGTGCCTCGGAAACTGCTCACGGTACAGCACAGGAAAACTGACAGCACAATGTCTGAGATCAATGTACGACTTGCCAGCCGTGATGACTGCAAAGATCTTGTAGATTTATTACACTCAGAAAAAAATGAAGAGCTTCGACACGAGTTATACACAACTCAATCAATTCAAAACATTCTGTCAAGCAACTCGAACAGAATCTTTGTAGCAGAAGAAGAAGGAAACTTATGTGCTGTTGTTGTTGCTTGCGTTGTTGACGGTGGAACGTCACTTGTCATCAAAGATGCTCACATCGGGGAAGCGTACTATGACAGCGATTTAGTAAAAGAGCTTTTGACCGGAGTCTACATGTATTTGGGAAGCAACTTCAGAAGAATTCGAACGGAACGCTTCGTTGCATCATCCAAGAAGCTCAAGAAACTTTTCGAACAGCACATTAAAAATCTCCGAACAAGTCACTTAACTTCTGGAAAGTTCACCAAAGTTTTTCAACTTGAACAGCTAGAGTTTGAGATAGACACAAGCAGTGAAAGCTTTGGTATAAAGTTAGATAGTATGGTCAGAAATTCAACATTGGTTCACATGACAAGGAAAGAGGCTGACTTGTACATTTTGAGAAACTTATCTTGCCTTTCAACTCGGAATATGCTAGTAGATTTTGTACCATATTCAGTGGAGCTATCAAATATTGACACAATATTCGCCAATGGGGAATATTTATTGGGAGAAAAACAAACTGATCAAAGAGTCTTCAGTGCCAGCAGGTCGTCCCTAAAGGCCCCATCTCCAAGCTGCACACTATCTGGGAGAAAAAGCCCTTCTCGGCTTCATAGTAGTCATATGGTCAACGTTCTCGAAAACCTTCATACTAGTCTACGAAGCATGAGTGGGTGTCTTCAAAGTCTTGAACATTCTCTTCAAGATGCGTTACCAAAGTCATTCAGTCACGGAAAACAGCTAAAGTCACGACAGCAGAAAACATGGGAAGCTGTGATTTATTGTGAGGATTCAGAAATCTTCCGAGGACATGCTTTGGAGCAGCTTCGAGCTGCTTCACTGCATTCAAAAACAAAGTTTAAGTTTATTATGAACTACCACAGCGCAATGTTTAATGAAGCGAGCAAGTTGTTTACAGAAGAACTAGCCTTACAGCCAGCATATCACGAAACGAAGAAAGTCGAAGTCTATGAGAGACAGTTTGAGTTTTCAGTTCCAAATGGCGTTTTACGCATCAAGTGAACTTTTCGGTGTCTTTACGCATGAACGTGAAGCGTGTAAACTGTGAGAAAGGCCATTAGAAACAAATCGATGGCATGGATTAAGACTTTATTGTTAGAGACCTGTACTTAAGCCGTCATTGGATTTAATTTAGTTTGTAATTATGGGAAAATACTGTTATAAAGCACACTTATATTGGATGCTGAGTAAATGCTTACAAATGGCACAGTTTGGCAACATAATAACCTTTTTATAAACGGAATTTGTTAATTGGAAGTCCTATATATACATTCAAATTGGTAAKAAATAGTCACTTTTAGAGCTTTGAAATATATATTTTTAAACTTTCTTTATTTGTAGTTAGGAGTATTCATATTTATTGCTCAGTTTTAAATATAAATTTGCTAATCGTACGAAAATTGACCATAGCGTTCATGTATGAAACAATTTGTGAGCAACGTTTTAAAGAGAAAATATACCATTTAGTTCGAGAAATTTGTAGACTTGACAGAAAAATGGATGGTATCCATCGAGCAATATGGGCGTTTGAGAAAAAAAAYTACTCTACACTACGTTTGGCTATACGCAAGATGCGCTCACGCAATACGCTGATACGGTCACGTGTACTGAAAGTACCCCAATGATCTGGAAACTACTTTAAGAGTCAATGCATACAAGCATAGTTAGTAGAGGGAGATGGTTATCTCCCTCTACTAACTATGATACAAGGAAGCCTTAAGCATTCTTTCGAGAAAGGACTAAAGTAACTATAACAGTGTTTTATTTCAAAAGTCTAACTACATTAAAAGTACAGTGGATATAAAGATTTTCTTTATTTACTCTATGGTAGATCCAATTGAACGCCGTAGTTTAAGAAGCAAGAGCGCAAACTGTAGACCATTGTATGGCTGCATCGAAAACTACGAATTTCAGCCAATCGGAGAGCCACGAGTTATTTTATTGTTTTTATGTATTTGGGTACAAAAATGTGATTTTATATAAAATTGTTATTAAGGGTACAAAAATCTTCTAAAACACAACCTTAAAGGCTTCTTTAACTTAAACSTACGTACATATAATCAAGGCACAAGAGTTGCATCATTTTAAAATTGAAACGCAACAATTTCCATTCGTTTTATCTTGACTATAATCCAACGTTCGTAAACATTTTCACAACACTTTTTCAGTCCCGCTACACTATGTACCTTTGTATAAAATAGTAATTTAAAAGATTCCTCTTTGAGGWTGCATGTGCTTAAGTTATCTATTTTGTCTATATATCCGTTTTACGTTACATTACGTTTACATTACGTTTTACGTTACGTTTTACATCTCAGTATCACGCAAAGATTCCCAAAGATCACTTAAAGATCAATGCTCACTTATATCAAAAAGCATTAAAAGGGAACATTCAAGCTATCCTGATTTTATATTATAAGTATCACTAAAGATCACTTGGTTCCAAAGAGGATCAACTGGGATCACTTTGATCAAAACATTGTCACGCGCTGACCACTAAGTTACTAATATGTTATTAAGTACGTTATGGCCAAAGGATCAAGGGAGATATAAATCGAGGACCASAAGAGATAATCAACTCTGGACGAGAACCAAGTCACTTGAAGATCACTAGAAGATCACGRCAATCATCRAGAATCACAAAAGATAAAATTCGCCAGTGTGCGGGCAAGAACAATTTGTTCTCCCTATATCAAGCTGYACGATTTAATAACTTGAACAAGATCATTAAGGATCAATGAAGATCACAGGGATAACTCAGACTACAAGAGATCACTTCGTCCACATAGGAGCGTAAACTACTTTTTCCCTAACTGACCAAGGTCATTACGACTATCAAACTTAACGCATTCGAGATCACTAAAGATCAATGAAGATCAAGGGTATCACTCAGAGTACAAGAGGTAACGAGTACTACTTTTATCCTGATTCCAGGTCATAACGAGTATCAAACTTAAAGAGATCACTAAAGATCATGAGATCATAATGAGATTTTCAGCGTTAAAGTAAGTGGTTGTCGTCTTCGGTGATGAGTACATCRTTRTCGGTATCCTTTYCCGCTGATCGACTAGGTGATTTAAGGAGGTAGACATTGCCACTGGCGGGCCTTTTTCTACAAGCATTAAAATATCAGATATTAAGCAATTATTGATTGAAGCTGAGAATGATATGAAGAATTGTACACCTAAAATACGCGGATATAAAGATTGCATTGAAATGGTTGGTAAGTTGYTATGCGCAAMAATCGTAGAACAATAGTATCAAGCATGTTTCGAGCACGAATTCAATGTAGAAGATGTGATAATGTTTCCCTGCGCCATCTTGAAAGGTAGCCGTTCGTTTACATCGAAGCGATGCAACCGTTTAGCGTRCAATGATAGATACCTGTGAATAATTGTCTGTAGGTGTGAAAGAAGGTTTCTATCRTTGCACRCTCAAYGGTCGTCTCGCTTCGATGCAAAGGCACGGCTACCGTTTAAGATGCCGCAGGGAACTGTAAAGAAGACTATTGCTTGGTAATGATGATGATGATCAAATCTTGTTATTTTTATTGTGTTCATTAATTTTTTATAATCATCATCATCATCATCATCATCATCATCATCACAACTATCATCATTATCACATCAACCATAATAACCATCATTATACAACTACTAACCTTCTTTGCATAAAACAAACTACAGCAGCAACCAATATTATTGTCAGTAATAGCGTCAAAACAACAGCAAATCCTATCTTCATTGCCAAGTTAGAACCATCCTTGGATCCCGTTTGCGCTTGCGCGTTAGGTYTGGAAGGCTTAGGTTTGGCGGTTTCTGCTCCAACGACTTCATACCCTGCGATATCTTCTTCTTGCGCASCTTTRTTGACCGTCTGTCGAACTTTGTCAGGATTTATAGCAACTGCTTTATTGTTGCTTTTCTTAATAACAGCAAACTCGACGTAGATATAACCGGGCGGAGATCTGTTGGATTYGAGAGGGTCTACTAGAATGATTATGTCGTTGCTTGAGAACTTCTCGGCCTCTCGTTTTCTCCTTTATAAAAGTAAACAAAGAATATAACGGGAAAATATTAAGCACTTGGATATCCCGGAAGAGAATAAAACAAGGCGAATCACTAATACCATGACTACTTTATCAATCACGTGATCTTTACCTGGCAGCTTTGTCCTTTAAGTATTTGTTTAGAATGGCTGCTATTGATTCCTTAAATTTGACTGGATTCCACTAAAAGATCAACAAGACGGACATCAAAGGACAATGACCAAACGATATCGAACAAAACCAACTA